TGGCAGATTTTCGTCACATTAACTACATTAAAGATATCCCCTCCGTAATACACAATTTTTTCGTCGACGTGTTTTTTGCGGCGTCGGCCCTAACATCGGCTGCCATCAGTGTTGACAGACTTCTCGCTCTGTTATTGGGAGTGAGGTACAGACAGGTTGTAACCTTATGCCGAGTTCGTGTGCTCTTAGCTTGGTTTTGGTTCTTTGGCGTTTCAAACGCTTCTTTGTTCTACGTGGCCAAGAAGTTATCCCTTTCTAGGGTGTTATCTGCCTCGAACTGGACGTTCTTGGGTTTAATTCTTCTCTCTATAATAATCTCAACGTTCTCATAGCGGAGCTCCTGCGCGCGCGAAGCGCGCGCGCAGCGGAGCACCATGGGTAAGAAAATTTGGTAAACTATCCATCCCAGAAAATTTGGTTATGACGTAGCGTACGCCCGTCCGTACACACACTTCATGTAAGCCGATGTCAAATGTCACAATAGATCTTGCACAATTTGACTAGCCTCAGCTCTTAGTTATGTAAGCCATCCGTATGAGTACGATTACATTGACAGCTGTCAAAATCAGACATCCGCTGACAATTATCACATGACCGTCTCGCGGGCTCAGATAAAAGACCAGTCGTTTTGCCCCTATATATAAGCTGATATAATATGTCACACTTACCAATTCAACATAAAAACGAAACTACGCCGGGCAAGGCTGTCATTTGGCTGACAGTCGTTTAAAGTTACATTGGCAGGCCAAATTAAGGTCAATTGACAGCTGTCAAAATGGGACATGTTCAGACCGCTATCAGAAAACTAATAACGAGGGCTCAGGTTCGCTCAGGTACACGATCTGGCATTTTCCACTACATGCCGGACGGAAATGTCCTACTCACACTCGTAGTCTGTTAATTCGAATATTCGCCATTCTAATGAAGGTTAACTGACAGCTGTCAAATTAGAGTATACGCTGACCATCATCACCTAAGTGGATCGCGGGCTCATTTTTCTATCTATTGAGGTCTCGTAGTGTTTAAAGTTTTGCGCTGATATTTTATTTGATCACGGGCTCAATTCGAAGCCCCATAGCTTTATAGAAAATCTATCCATCCTAGAAAATTCGGCAATCACGTGACCGTACACCGACCACCCGACCTTCCGTCCGTCCGCACCACAGGCATACCAATGTTTAATCTCACACTTTCTTGCTAGTTTGGGAGCCTGCAACCTGATATTGTACATCCATGTTTTGATTAATTGACAGCTGTCAAAACAGTGTTTCTGCTGACCAGTATCGCCTGACCGTATCGCAGGCTCAGGTATCGACCCTCTGAGTTCGAGTAATATTTTGAAGTTATTCGCTGTCAAGTTGCTACTTTTCTAATGATCGCAGGCTCAAGTTCAATTTTTTTAGCGGAGCTCCGCGCGCGAAGCGCTCCCGCGGAGCACCATGGGTAAGTAAATCTACCCATCCCAGAAAATTTGGTAATCACGTGACCGACCGACCGTCTGTCCGCACCACAGGTATACCAATGTTTACTCTCACACTTTCTAGCTACTTTGGGAGCCCAGGAGAAAGCTGATTGCACATCAATGTTGTCATCAATTGACAGCTGTCAAAACAGGGTATCCGCTGACCAGTATCACCTGGCCGTATCGCGGGCTCAGGTGTCGACCCATCGAGGTCGAGTATTTTTGAAGTTATCCGCTGACAATTTACTCGTTTTCAAATGATCGCAGGCTCACGTTTACTTTTTTTTTAAATTCATATCAAATATGTTGTGTTTATGTCAGTATCGCACTGCACTATTACGATTTTGATTTCAAACTGACCTCAGACGCAAAAATTCAGCCAGTTTTTTTAAAATACAGGCGGGGAAGACCTTTCCTTACCATGGTCACGTGTTGGTCACGCTCCACGTCCAATTCTTATGCTCTGATTGGTTAAAATTTGACAGGTGAGTTCATGCGTAAAATTTATGCAGCATCTTGAAAGTTGTTTACTTTGACAGCTGAAGCTGACAGAGTTTTGAGTCAACTTGTGATGTTTTTAATTGTCTTTTTCCACTGGATGTACAAAATGAAATACAGCTGTTATCAAGAGTGTTCTCTTATTCATAGCTGGTTTGTTTATTGGGTTTTTGGTTGAGAAGTGTGTCGCTTGTCAAAGCCGATAATCCGATTTCGGATGGCATCGTTTTTGTTTTTCACCTTGCTGGATGCGTACGAGAATTATAAAGGCTCAAGCGATCCTTGCCTTACTTGACAGCTTTCAGGAGCTGCATCTCGAAATATGGTAAGCTTAAGTAATTATTGTATTTAGATATAATTTCATGAAGTCCAGCGGCGCAGTTTATGAAGCTAGTTTATGCACGTTTGTATTAAGATTTGATTGAGGCACCGATCTGACCTAGTATGAGGTTTGATATAAGCTTAAGCTTACAGAACTTTAAAAAGCCTTTAGTCGATATTAATTCACCGTAAATAGAAAGAAAAAACTTTCCGAAGAATACTTAGTTATAATTTTGGCTGTAGAAAGAAAGCTTTGAGCGATTTTTTTGTCGTGAGTCATCTTTGAAAACAGCAAACAGCAGGGAAACCGGCGGCTTAAAACATAAACTTAATCTTTAAGCTTACTAGTAAAGACTTATTTATTTATTTATTTATTTATTATTTTCCCACAATAAAGATTACACAAGCATTACATTATACAAAGATGTGGCGAGGGGACCTCAGAAAACCACAAGGCTTGTACGAGGAGGCCCCCTCGTTACAATAATATTAAGCAATAGAACTATAACAACACACAACAACGGACAGTACAAGACGCATTATCGATATAGTAGAAAATCAAAAACAATTAACACGAGAAAGAGAGAGCCGAAAATTGCTCTTATTTCTTTCTGAAAAATCTCTTTTAGTGAGATATTTAGTTTGGCTATTTTTCGACGCTATTTCTGTCTCATCCACTTCATAAACAAAAACCGGTAGATGGTCAGAAATATCATTAATAACAATACCATTGAAATGTTTACACCTTACATTATTCGTGAATATATTATCAATAAGTGTGGCCGAATGAGCAGTGATCCGAGTCGGTCTATTGATTAGAGGAATGAACATATGGGAAAATAGACTATCAACAAATTCTTGAGTAGGGGCATGATCGGAATAGTGAAACAGATCTATATTGTAGTCTCCACCCAAATAACAATATTTGTCATTTCTAGTTATTTTAGCAAGAATCTCATTAAATTTGTCCAAAAGTCCCGAGTGTTATAATTAGGCCGACGATAAACAGTACCAACTATAATATTTTTCCCATTGGGAATGTTAATTTCAACAAAAAGAGTTTCGATCACTTCAGGTTCAGAATAATTACAATCGCGGCATAATTTGTATTCTAAATCGTCAAGTAAATAAAGACCTGCTCCACCGGCGGACTTGCTATCGCGGTGGTTCGAAATAAATTTATATCCAGGTATTTCCACCTGGTCCGACGTAAGCTCAGTTAGCCAGGTTTCCGATACGCATATGGCAGAAAATGGATTTTGCAAATGACTAAGCAGGAATTTAAATTTATCTAAATGACCGATTAGGCTTCGTGTATTAATATGAAATACAGAGAAGCAAGGAGAATTTGAACTATTAGTTAGCTTAGCATTAATTTCATCCTCAGTATAATAATTACTAGGAGGAGGAGAAAAAGTAAACTGTTGATCTGGATCTAACTCATTAAAGAAAAACTGATTAGAGACAGACGAATTATCAATTGGGTTGTACAAAAGAGAGCTTAATCGTTCGCTATCATAATGTAGAGGTCCATGCGTCATTTCATATAAAGCAATATTAAAATCGTTATTGCCTAAATGAGAAAAAGGGAGCTCAGGCTCAGGGAGCTCAGAGTCAGAAGCCATTTGGCTTCACTGGCTAATAATTAACTGTCAATGTATATAGCCCGATACTTAGCTTTGTCTTGAGTTCTTGAACTCCTGACTTGAGGATTCTTAGAGGCACTTAAATACTCATTTGTTTTCGTGAATGAAAATTGTTGTCTCTGTAAATGTTCTACCGAATGATATTTCTTTATCGATTGTTGGTAGTCTCAAAAGTGTGATTTTCATCGCTTTGCCGTTTGTTTTCAGCCGTTCATAAACATCGCTTGCAGGAGTACTCAAAATGCCAAGCGTATCAAACGCTTTTTAAGATTACACATCGTTATAAAACCATTAATAAAAAATAGACTCAATAAATTCTTTATCACGTTGAATGGTAACTCTTTTAAAATTTCTTCGCAAATTTGGCGCTTGTCGAAAGTTAGAACCGGATGGCCGTATAGGTGATTTTGGAAATTTTTTTGAACGGTTTGACTAATTAAAAGTCCACGCGTGCTTCGATAGTCCTGAATATTGAATGAATGCAATTTGTCTTGAAAGATTGTGAAATACTGCATTTTGTACGAGGTCTGTATGATAAAAACAGCGCCTCATAGTACTCTTTCTCCTCAGATGTGGTCTATAAAAAATAATAAAAGATCGGTTTGCAAGAATTTGTAAACTTGTCGAACGAAAAAATTCGGTCTGATTTGTTTTCCAAGAATTTGTTTTCCACGCCTTATCTACTGTGATCAAGAGCCATTATTGCTCTTAAATGTGACCGAAGACTATTTTTTGGGTGTACTTATAGGGCTATATCAACTCGATACAAGATTTGTTTCACTCCAAAATCACTTAGCTTTTCCCTCAAAAGTCACACCAATGTGCCCTTAAGTTAACTGATTTGTGGAATACAAAATTATTGTTTGATTTAAGTTATAAATTTATCAATGGGAGCTTCGCTTTTAGCTGTGGCTAAATCTATATATTACTCAAAGATTTTTTTCACCCTTCGTCATCAACAAGCCCAAGTGCAAGGTCATGTTCAACCAGAACAGTCGAGCAGAGTAAGAAGTGTACTAAACATAGCACGATACAAGAAGACAGTGTATAGCGTAGCTTGGATACAGTTTGCTATGCTTGCTTGTTATGGTCCTTACACTATATTGGGATCAGTATCCTCTCTTCGTGGCTATTCCTTCGAAATTAATATCGCGAATGAGTTTTGCTTTTGTCTCCTTTATTTAAATTCATGTCTAAATCCAGTTCTGTATTGTTGGAAGATAAGAGATGTGAAGCAGGAAGTGAAGAAAACAATTGGCAAGTTTCTTTGCTTTTGATTTTTCCTATTGTGTTTGGGGAGAAGCACAACTCGCCTCATATAATGGAATCCAAGACAGTCTAGCTTGGCTTCTGGATTCCTCGTCATGGATTCCGGATTCTAGGTACTGAATTCCAGTCTTTGTCAGTGGAACTTGGATTCTGGATTCCAATCGTAAGTGTGATTCCGGATGAGCTCTATTCCGGATTCCAAAGACGAGAATTCTCCATTCCACAAGGAAAAATTTCTCAAATTCCGGATTCCATAAGCAAAAATTTCCTGGGTGTAGGTGGGGTAAGACAACAGAACAGTGAAGACACCCGGCGACCACGAAAAGTACTTTGTCATATATTACCTGTACATACGAAAAAATGAAAAGTAAAGACAATATTTACATTGTTCAAAGGATAAGTTATTCATCTTGTACTTCTAGCATTATTCAGTCGATTTACTCTTAAGACTTTGCTTCACTTATAAACTCGTAAATGATGAGATGTAATTAAGTACTTGTCAAAAAGCTTCATACTTTTACATACTAAACAATGAATGCAGGGCGGACATTGTTGTTTGATACATTAGTCCTGTTTACTCCTTTTACAACTGCATGATATTCAGTTTGGACCGGTCAAACAGTCGTCAGTGGTAGACACTACACCTATAACACTTGTGTGTTCTCTTTAAACAACAATTTCAATTGTATTTCAACAGTAAAAAGGAAAACTTCCCTAAAATAGCAGGGCTAATGTAGGCGTTTTTTCAGAAGAAAAAAAATGACCTTCTGTTGACTAGATGTAAAACTCTCGGCTTAAGACACTTCAGCGTTGTACAAAGTATATATAAAGTCGAGTCAATTGTCACAAATATCTCATTTAGCGCCCTAGGACTCTTCAGTTTAATGTTGTAGTACGAAAAATATGTGCCCTGGTAGAAAATAACGTCAGCACAGAGCTTTGGGCATATATTTATGTAAGGGATTCGAGAAGAACTAAGCAATTGTTATAAGCTGTTTGCTAATTTGCTTTAAAGAAACAAACACTGTATGTTAAAACATTGAAATGCAGTTTGAATTGTCCTTCTTATGAGTTGTTGGTTATTAAACCCCTGAATGGGAAGTACATGCCTTTGACTTTTTATTTGTTAGCGAAAACCTGAAGCGTGGTTAATTGATTCAAATGAAAGCTTTCAAAACGATCGTCTTGCAATTTTAGTTAGCTTTATTAAGCTTATCGTTATTGGAAGTGAAATCGGATGAAAATGAAAAGAGACGACGCGTCGACGCACTGAGCGCCTGAATTTTGAAACCAAAGAATAAGATTTAGATGTGACATTGTAAGGCAAATAAAAATTATTGGAGTACGTTTGGACGAACGATGAAAAGTGTAGTAAACAATTCCCAGCAGGTGAAAAAAATGAATAAATTTATTTTCAACATATAAACTCGTTGCACCTTAACCGCCAAATTAATTTCTCTGTTGTGAAAGAAAAAAGAAGAAGTAAACATTTTAAGAACATTGGGATCGTAGCTGACATGTATTCGTTTAGAAATAACGCTATATTTCGTAAGTGAACATGTTCTATAGTTCAATGAGCGTCCTCAGATGGCCAAGTTGTCTCTCGAAACATTTTTTGTTTACACAAGGGCTATTGATGTTTAGCAGGTAAATGTGATGAGAATATGATCAATGATCGTGACGATTTCCGTTTGAAACCAGGTGTTTGCGAGGAAAAAGAAAAGTGCGTGGCTTCGTAAAGCGAAAGTGGGCTTCTGGCCGTTTTTAACATACAAAACAGCTTCGTCAAAATGAACAAGAACTGCTGCGAAGTTTACTTTAGTGGTACAGAACTCTTCTTTCTTGTGTCATGCTGAATATTGCAGCATCGAAAAAAAGGAAGTTGAGAGTTTAAATCAGCTAAAATGTAGAATACCCTTAAAAGGGAGTTTTTTTTTTTAAATAGTGTCCTAGTAGCAATACCCAAATAGAAACATACTGACTTGGAAACCGAAATTGATTTGAAAATTTTTACTTATGTAGTTCACTGTCATATCTTTTGAGGTTTCTTCATTAAACTGTTGGAAACCGTAACTCTCCTAATAACCGATCTTAATTTGTTGGTCGGAGTCGGAGTTACATGTTAAGTAAGGGATATTTTAGCTGGCAGTCGTGATCAAACTTTTTCTAGCCAATTATTAGGCGGGTCTATTTTAATTGCGAATATGCGATGTTAACTTATGACGTTAACAACACCATACAAACTCTAATTATGCTTTATATTAAAGTCTAATTCATAACACTCATATTCAGAAGTCTATATTGACTGCGCTTCTGTCCTGTTAATTTCGTCAAGATCTCAGGCAACGCATTTTATTTCTAAATTGTCAGTGTATTTAGCAAGAAACTGCTAATTGAGGACAATTTTTTACGTCTCCTATTGGAGATAGGACCGCCATTTCTAAGTACTCATCCGAGGAAAGGTCTAGCTGTTTGCAAAGCAAAGGCAGTATACCATCATTTCTCAATTATCTTAAGACCCTGAATAGTGGTGCGGCCGCAGAGAACGACCCCGCGACCATCCGCTCTGCAGACAAGCGCTGTACTGCCTGAGCTATTCCTGCTGCGGTAATTACCGGAGGGGGGGGGGGTACTCAACAAAGTTTTATGCGGGGAGGCTCCTCTCGGAGGTCGGTCCAACTCCTTATCCGGCTTTTACATACCATTTTGACAGAAAAATTACCTCTTTCCTATGCCTTCTTTCGACAAATGATACCCCTTTCTTATAACTTATTTAGAATTTTGCATCCCTTTCAACCAGTGTAAAGGCACTGCATTTAAAATATGAATAAATCACAAAACCAGAACGTTTTCTTGACTTTTTCACAGCCTTAGAATTACTCTGTAAGCCCTTTTGGGCCTTTTTACGTACCGAAATAACCGATTTCCCTACACTTTCATATACTTTAACCCGTAAAATCCCTTCCCTTTCATATACCTGTAGCCTGAAAAACGGTACCCCTTTCAGGCGGAGCCTTCCCGTATAGGCCATTGTACTGAGTACCCCCCCCCCCCCCCCCCCGAGGGGTAAATAGTGGAAGATACCGCTTAGTGATAGGTGCACAGTCTATCTTAAATTAGTTGTTACCGACAAAAGTGAAGCCCTGGCGAGTAAAACAAACCACCGGATGTTACGTTTTGACTTATAGTGGAGAGTTACATATCCGTAGTACAGGTGTTCATACTATACCGTATAACACGAAAAACAATCCGCTATAGTGTGTATGTAGCCTTAGTATTCCGCCCTTTTTAGTTACCTGCCGTTTTAGATTTTAATGGTAAATGATACAGATGTAGGAAGACACCTTTCTAAAGTGCTTCGGAAATTGCCCTGAAAATGCAGTCGAGCCACCTTCAGAGTCCATTCAGTTCTCGGTGGACTCTTATTGTACCGTTGAACACTGATATAATAAGTCGTTTTATATCGAACAGCTCCTTTATTCGACAACGAATGAGATTTTTTACTCCAGTTGTCACAGGAACCCAATACAACATTTCCTATTATGCTAATAATGAAAACAAAAAATATATGCACAAAAAAACAAGCTAGAATTAAGCAAGAAAGTCATTACCAAACAGGGAGAAATTAATTTGTAACTTAAGTATTATTACCCAGAAAATTCCGATGTTTATGCAGGAAGTTGTAATAATTCACTTGTCAAAATACTAATACAAGAATATGAGTAGCAAATTTCAACATCTACTTAATGTTTTTGGCTGTAGCCGATATGGCTATGTGCGTTTAAACCACTTTCTGTTAGTCTTCATATCACCTGTAACGTAGTTGTTAACTGAGAAGCGTTTCCTGGCGTTTGTGTCTAAATTAGTTCTTTAGCGAGCAATAAAGTCAACATGTCAACCTGAACTACTACTCAATAATTTGTTCTAGTTGAAATGAGAGCATATCTCCTTCACTGTGGTTTTTTAACCTCCAATTTTCGTGTACCCCTATATTTTACGATATCCATGTCGTCAAAGTACATATGACATCTTATTTTGTATTAATATTTTTGGATAGTTCTTTAGCGAGCAGGAAAGTCAACCTGTCTTAAAAATATTAGGAATCGGCTTAATTGACACGTTTGATGCAACGACAGGTTAATTTGGAGTTAAGTATTTTTAAATTTAACTTGGCAGTTTCTGTCTAGGTCTATAACAAACTGAATAAATTTGCTATTTCGTTGAAAAGCTGTTTTGTCCGAGGAAGTTCATCTTGTGTATCTTTACAGCTGAAGAAACCTAACGTTAACTCAAATCGACGTTTCTTTTCCATAAAGCTTAATCAGTGGCTTTCAACACCTATGACAATCAACACGAATGGGACGTTTGTAGCAACGAAGATACCACCCAGAGTATGGATATTTCTCATAGCCTTCAACAATTGAACCTGTCTAAAAAATGTAATGAGAGTAACTGATACGTTTTATACAACAGCACGTGAATTTGGAGTCTAAGTCTACTTTTTAATTTAACTTGCCAGTTTCTGTCTAGGTCTATCACAAGTGAATTTACCATTTCATTAACAAGCTGTTTTGTCGGAGGAAGTTCATCCATCTTCTGTAGCCTTACAGCTGAAGAAACTGAACGTTAACTCAAATCGACGTTTCTTTTTCATAAAGCTAAATCGGGGGCTTTCAACACCAATTGCAAACAATACGAATGAGACATTTGTAGTTACGAAGATGCGGCCAGGAGTTCACATATTTCTCGGCATATCCTTAAACATTTTTCTTTCCATCTAAGAGAAATCGGCGTGTCTTTTGCGTAAAGCTTCATCGGGGTTTTCAAAACCGATGGCAAACAACACTAACGGAACATCTGTAATAGCGAAGATACCATCAGGAGTGTGGATATTTCTTACAGCCCTGAACATTTTTCTTTCCATCTTTGCAACTCTGGGCAATGTTCTAGTCCTAGTTGCTCTACGAAACGTTTCCTCCATTCATCCACCGACGAAGCTCCTATTTCGATGTCTGGCGATAACTGATCTTTGTGTGGGTCTTATATCTCAACCACTTTACGTTTACGTTATATACATAATGAACTACCTTGATATTGGTAACCGCATCGTAGAACTAGTTTACGTACTTGTGTTTATCATTACGGTGTTGGTTGCGGTATCCATCGTAACATCGGCTGCCATCAGTGTTGACAGACTTCTCGCTCTCTTATTGGGCCTGAGATACAGACACGTTGTAACTTTACGCCGAGTTCGTGTGGTCATAGCTTGTGTTTGGTTCATTGCTGTTTCAAACGCTTCTTTGTACAGCGTGGCTTGGATCCTATCTCATGATAAGTTACAACTTGCCTCGTCGTGGACCCTCCGAGCTTTTATCTTTTTTTCTATTATAGTCTCAACATTTTCGTACACGAAGATTTTTTTCACCCTCCGTCATCAACACGCCCAAGTGCGAGATCATGTTCAACCAGAACAGTCGAGCACTGTAAGAAGTGTACTGAACATAGCACGATACAAGAAGACAGTGTATAGCGTAGCTTGGATACAGTTTGCTATGCTTGCTTGTTATGGTCCTAACATCTTGATGGCATTTCTTTGGCGTTTTAGAATTATAGATTATTCCACTGAATCAATGATCGCGGATGATGTTTTCCTTTGTCTCATCTTTTTAAATTCATCTCTGAATCCAGTCCTTTACTGTTGGAGAATCAAAGATGTCAGACAGGAAGTGAAAAACACCATTCGTCAGTGTCTTTGCTGTTGAGTTAACCTACAGTGAGAAACGATGCAACAGAACAATGGAGACAACTGCCTTGTCACGAACAATGCCGCTATGTCCTACAGTGGTAGGACACATTTTGTTCATCGGATCAGTTATCCCTATACTTTGATCGTTTTTTGTCTAAATAGAGTAATAAAAGATGTTTGACGATGTTAAGACGGCTAAAAAGGGCGAAAAGAGCGGTCGATTTTGGGTGTGGCCATATCGGATTTTTTTCAAGGGGTTAATCCATTATTTTGAGTCAAAATATGAAAGTTTCTTTTGTGAGTGTTTAAATAGAGGAAGAAAAGATTTTTTCCATTGTTAAAGACTGCTAAAAAGGCCGAAGAAACCCTTTACAACGAGCTATAGTCGCCGGGAAAATCATGAATGCCCGCTGTCTTTAATAGTCCACATTAATATTCACAGCTTATGTATGTTGTATGGCAGCGTAACTATAAACCCCCTGCACCTTAATTGTTAGATTGATTTCTCTGTTACAGAGGAGACAAAAAAGTAGATATTTTGGAAAATTGGTAACGTAGCTTAGTACTCGTTTAGAAAGAAGGCTATACTGTATTTGGTAAGTTAACAGATCCGTAAGTGACAAAAGTGAAGCGCTCTCGTATGGCCAAGATCTCCCTCAGAAAAACGTCCTGTTTACGCAAAGACAATTAACATTTAGGCAGGTAATTATAAGTGCAGTGATGAGAAAACCAAAACTGTTAATAACGATTTCCATTTCAGTAAAGCAAGGTGTTAGCGAGGAAAAATGAAAGTTCTTTTGTAGAGTGAAAACACTGAGGTTTTAAACTGTTTTGTTGTTTCAACATTTAACCCATTTACCTTTAGTGGCGCAGAACGCCTCTTTCCGTGTATCATTGCGAACACTATAGCTTACTGAACCAGAAGTGTAAGTTGAAAGTTAAATGAGCTGTGTCACAACATTTACTTAAAATTTCAAGGGTGAGAACTGCTACCAAATTGAATGAAACAAAAAAATCACCGCTTAAAGCATTAAGAGAAGGTATGAATAAGGAGGAACGGATTGACAAACTTAAAGAAGAGTGAAACGGATTGTATTTGTGGTTTTTGAAACTTGTAACGTTTTTAATATAATACTTGGGAGACAAAATTTGTCTGACATCAAACTGTGTTTTGGTCATTCACAAGGAATTTTCCAAGTTTCATAGCGAACAGGGACGTGTACTGAACCAGACTGCCGTGACGCACCCCCTTTAATATACTGTGGCAAATTTTTGATGTCTTTCAAATTGCTAGTTTAGTATAAGCAATGCTTGAATATAATAAATGATATTATTATTCATTCAAAATATTTCCCCGATTCTGATTGGCTAAAAGCACACGCATAACTCACCATATGATAGATACATTAGTCCTGTTTATTCCTTTTACAACTGCATGATATTCAGTTTGGACCGGTCAAACAGTCGTCAGTGGTAGACACTACACCTATAACACTTCTGTGTTTTCTTTAAACAACAATTTCAATTGTATTTCAACAGTAAAAAGGAAAACTTCCCG